TAGCGTCGAGATAGTGAAAATCGCGCAGCATGCTGCTTAAAATTAATTACTATACTGGCCGGTCAGTGAAGTCGTCCGGCTTGTCCGACAGCCGGCCGTCCCGTAGCAGCGCAACCCACCGGCCATTACAAACTGCGTCCTGTTTATCAATTTGAATTCGAAAGACGAGCCGAGAGAAGACGAGTCCGCGGCCCCGCAACAAATTACGTTTATCGGGCGTCATTAATCACCCGGCGTCTCGAACATCTGCGAACGTCCCTCTCCTCTTTCTCTCTCTGTCTGTTTCTCCACCTCCTCCGCCTCCAGCTTTGCCACCTCCCCCCGGGAGAGAAAGACACCGACTACGCGAAACGGAAAATACAAGCCGTGGTGCGCCTCTGGCGTCGTGGAAAATTCTGATCGCTTTATCGCTGTGATCTTCCATTCTATACGAAGAACAACTCGATAACGGTGGAAGCTTGCTGGATTAGGAGTTATCGTGTATGTTCTTTCGTCTTCTTCCCCTTCACTCTGATTTATTCGAAGATACTTAATGGTTAGAGAAAAGATACTAACTACTCTACGTAATTTATCATAGTGCCATCGGTGACACGTGGTAAATGAAAAGTTCATTGGGTCTAGTGGGAAGAAGGGACACGAGGATTATAGATTCATTCAATTTGGCGCTACATATACTACAGGTGTTAAGTGTACTTCTAGTCAAGTAGTTGAATTGTTATGAAATTTTCAATCTATTTATGAATACGAAAGGAATAAAATTCTTTGTAATTAGCAATTGAATATATCTAATATTAAAGACCTAGAACTAAAGTTTCTCAGTTGAAAGTGTCTTCCGAGGTTGGATGCGCCTCAACAGATGTAAAGTTGTCACAATTTTAACACGACGAATTATTGAAAATTAATTATTATCTCGATATATTCACTGATTCATCTATGGATTATCCTTAAACGAAGAGTCTCGAGAGTACGGACAAGGAAGATCGAGGATAGCTATTCCGAATAAATTTCGTGCCGGTAGCACGTTGGTGGGTGGTATGGGCTGACATTAAGGTTAGATTGAAGTTACCGGAAGAAAGAGAAAAATGTAGAGGAACATGGTCACGGGAAGAGAAAGGCCGAAAGTGAAAGAGAAGAATAAAGAGAAACGGGCGAGGAGAGTTACAGGCGGCGGCAAGAGGAGAGCAGGTGCAAACTTGGCCTGTCAGGAAGTCGCTTACAGCTCGAGGACAAAAGCTTCCCGAGGGACTCGTGCACGCCTGGAAGCAAGACTAGGGACGAAGCTCGGTCTCGGATAGAGAAGATGCCAGCGTAGAAGAAGGTTGAAGGTGGCGCGAGCTGGGATGGGGCCAGCCTAACTGTGAAATAACAGGGTGGCCTCCTCAACCCTCGTTTCAAGAGGATGCGAGTCTCATACGTCACTTCCTTACGGAGAAAGAGGGCGGTGTCTCAGAGTGGAAGTAGGTTATATTGATTTATTTATATCGAGGACGCAACCTCAATACGATGGGGTTTTTGGGAATGTATCTATATCCGGCCTATAACCTCGTCTATGTTTTCTATGGTTGATGAATCCTGCTGTTACGTTATGCCCTTTTAGATGTTTATCTATACCGATCCTTAGGACGTTTTATCCACGTTTAATTCACATATACATTTAATATACAGTTGATAGCAAGCAATCGTAAGAACTGAAAAGACACTTATATGTTGCGTTTTATTTTCGCGCGATGCTGGTCGAAGATTAACGAACGGGTCAAGTAACCCTCAGCCAAGCGAGATTCCAAACGAATTACAAAACCGATGACAGACTACCGAATGGAGTAACACGATGCATGAGGCTGACTCATAAAAAGAGAGCAGAATTGTAATTGAGAATATCCGTGCGATTGGCCAGCGAAAAAGTTCAACGAACCATCCGCTGAAACTGGAAGCACGACACTCGTTAACGCAGATGAATCAGTGGCGGACAGCGGGGGACCCGATACCGATGAGAGATCCATGGACGCGCTGCTCGAATTACATTCCAATTTACAATCGTCGAGCGTATGATAGTCTGTAAAAATAAACCAGGACCGTAGTGAGAGACGCGCTCGCGCAGAACGTATCAGACTTCGGGTCCTGACTTTTCGTCTCCGGTTAAGACGGCGACAAAGATGAACAAGACGGTCGTCGAATCATCCACCTCTCCTCCAATTCGGCCCTCCTTGATTCCTGACTCTCCTTCCCTCCGATCTTTCTATCTCATTCACTCCGGGTTTCATCTGCTACACACGACTCGACCGCGTGGCATGACTGTCGCTAACACGCGAACCCCGAAGTTAACCCGCAATTTAGCCGCACAGCGATCGTTCAAAAGAGACGTCTCACTTGATGCCACTTAACGAATCCCCCGCTCGGCCCGACTCGTGCTCCGTTTCCAGATGCGACGATTGCTCTCCTCAGAACACGGAATCGGCCGTGATTAAAGTTTCAGGGGCGGAATAATTCATGATGCGGTTCGAGCGCTTCAATGAATTCGAATCGTCGCTTTCGTGTGTCTGCCATGGACTTTCCCTCCGGATTCAATTATCAGCTCGTGACTATCTCGCCTATGAACGATTCGATTAATAGGACGAATTACATTTGCTGGTAAACTGTTAAAAAATTGATCGTTATCAAACGAGATGAATACCGGAAAACAGACAAATAGAATGGAATTCGTGGTATTCGTTTATAGAGCATCGCAGACATTCTCGGACGTCTTTGAAAATTCCCACGATAAATCACGGTTACAGAGTTGACGGGGTGACGCGTATGATTACACCCTGTCTCTTAGCGGCTATAAATTTCTTCACGGCCGCTTCACCTCCACTCTAGGATCCTACAGGTATTCCCGGAGTCCCGTTTCATCGACGACTTCGGGGATAACTGTGACGCACGGTCTGCCAGTGTTTAATGGGTCGACAACGCTGGCGACCGACTCCGAATAATCCTGATGTATCGTTTATTCGCTCGTTCTTCCTTCCAGCGTAGAAAGGCAGGATTCCATCGACGTGAAGCAGTCATTTTCGCTTTCTCCGAAGGATCTCGAGCTGGTCTCGACTTCGTTCCTTCTCGACCCATACTTCTACCTGCCTGAAGCGTCTTTCCTCCCATAATACCGTCCTCGTCTCTGTTATTCCAAAATATTATTTCACTCTCGTTTGTCACACGAATATATTCGAGAAATTCATTCGAATTCGTCTTTCGACGCACGTTGATCCGTGAGTTAGGCGTCATCGAATCTCTAATCTCCTCATCATTAACGTGAATCCAGCTGTCCCCCGAGCCAGGGATAATCATTACTTTCGAATCACTGGTTCGGCCCTGTCATTTGGCTAGGCTACAAATTAACACGACTAACCATAACCGTAACTTTGGGTTAAACGCACCTTCTCCTCGGGCCGTAGAATTAGAATCCCAGTTCCGTTTTTTACTCCGCTGAACCTTTTGAAAAGAGGGAGACTTTTACTTTTCGTAGTGGCACCTTAAATCACGGGTAAAATTCTATATTTTTCACGCAAGTTTTAGTTTTCCATCGCATTATCAGGAGCTGAAAGACAGTGCAGTCGGTTTGTTTAATTAGGTGTCATGGATAATAAAATGATTCGTTATTTTGGTCCGTGGTTCAGACACACGAAGGAGGACATCTAATATCGGCGCGCTTGGTCCACAGCTTCCGAAGCAATTTTCTGCTTTTCAAGAATATAATTTTCGCCGGGGGATGGTCGGCTATATTTCCGTAGATAAGACTGTAGCTCCGGCGGATCCGGCGGCCGCCCGGGCGAGACCCTACTCTCTCGTGTGAAATTACTTCGCTCCGTGGCTTACTCTTATCCCCCGGTGCCACCCTTTCTTACCGTGTATCCTCATTCAGCTGGGATCTCCCTGGAAATAAAGTAGATACCTTTCCTATTTTCGCATCCGGAAAATTGCAATACCTTGGCTACGAAACTCGTTCTTGTCCGCCTTATAAATCAGTCTCGCGGCCTCCCGTTTGCCACGTTAATCGGTTCGTGATTCGATCATTTCTCCTTTCGTAGTTCCTGATTATTTTCGTCGTATGTATTTACGTTGCTGCTGAATGCTTTGATTTATCATCGTACTCTCGATGTCACGAAGAAAAGAAAAAAAAAAAGATATAAAAGAAGAATTTTTTCGAACACGCTACCGTCAACGTTGATATTAATCGACGATAATTTAATCGTGAAATACGAAATATCTCGCGTTTCGGTATCGCCAGTGCATCTGTCGTATCCGGCGCGACGTTACGAAGATTCGTTCGATACATTCCGGTAGGCGGTGAACCCGTTTGAGCGAGTACCGGCTCTTAACGCAACAAGCTCTCCTCGCGCGTTTATCTAATTATTATAATTGTGCGATTATTCTTGGTCGAACGAGCCGCGGCAGGGGTGAGATCGCATGCCGACCAGTGAAGCCGGGAAAAAGAAAGGAAAGAAGTAACGGGATATATATGGAGCAGCACGCGATAGAATCTCCCTGGTCGAAGTCGTGATCGTTCGCATCACGAATTCTTTGCGCCCTTTGTGTATCGAGACTCGGTGCATTCTTTCCACGCGCACATATTGCTCTCCGCCTTTTTACGTATCCGTGTAATAACTGTTCCTGTGTTGAATTTTTACTACAGAGCCACATTTATTTTTGTATCACCAAGAGGAACTCCTCTTTCGATGGTCGACAGAGTTTTTATGTTTCCCTATGTATTTGCAGGAATTTATGTGTTTCATTAAACTCTCGAGCGGCGACTCTCTCGGTGATTCGACTCGTTTCTGATATCGTTCACACGATGCAAATTCGATTCGTACTCCGATCGGTGTTCGCTCACGGTCATCGATTACGTGACCGTGCGGTTCTAATTCAGCGTTTTTAGAAAAGAACCGGTCGAGGGCGATTTTGTTTGATACCAGGTTATATTGAGAAGGCAGTAATTAACGGTGAATCGATTTTTTTCTTTGCTTCAGGTAAATGGTGTCCGCGTAGGGAATGGAGTTCGCCGCCGGACGCGCAACGAGCGGCGAGCGACGCGCGTCGTGGCGTTCTTTACTCTTCCGTCTTCCTCGGTAGCCCCGGTAAGTTTTACGAACTTCTCTCTTCTCACTTCTCTTCTGAAACTTTTCACCCTTCTCTAAATTGAATATCCCGGGCGAAATATGGGCCGGCCTGGTTTTCTTTGGTCGCGTACTCTCCGACGTTCTAGCCGAACTCTTGTGCAAATTTTCAGCCGCTCGTACGTTACCCTTAATTAAACGGGACTCTGGCTGTTTAACGTCCCCGTGGAGTACTAGCATTAATCGTCGCGATTAGGCTCGTGATTTCGCGCGTAGTATATTTATCAGGTACTCGTCGGGAATTTCCACTCTCTCATCGAAAGCTACTAGCCTGCACGATGTTTACGAGGAACCTGAAGAGTCTCGTTCTTAATCCTTCGAATAAATTTCCACGAAGGAAGCATCGAAGAGGAGACGAAGAAACAAGTGTAAAAAGGAACGAAACGGGAGCGAGAGTGTCTGAAATACGCATGCAGACACGGTGTGCAGTGAGGACGCGCGCGTTATACGCGGCCGTCAGTGGGAGGAGCGCAATCGTTCGCGGCATAAACAAGTTTTAATCGTGCCTCGGGCATTCGCCGCGTTGAATAAATATTGATATCGGGTGACGCGACGGCCAATCAGAATCGGGGCTTATAAAGCAAGCCGCTTACACCTCCGCCTGTCTATCCATGCTGCGACGCGTACACACGCGCGCGCGCCCCTGTTCCATCTCGACGTGTTACAACATCGCTGCCTATCGACGATATACTCAGGCACGAAATATCCAGAGATAAAAAACGAAAAATATATTATATATGCTCCGAGACGCGAAAGAGGGGATTGATTTCTTGAATATTCCTCGTGTGTGTCTCGTTAGTCTCGTTTTGCTACCGGTGGGTCGCAATCGCAGTGGCGTGATGATGTCGAGCATCGATACCTATCGATGCC